CCTGCCTCTATTGTCCCCTCCCAGGCCACAGAATATGAGCCAAAGCTTCTTCATCTCCTACCATTTAGGTGAGTTTCAGATTTTAATTACTAGTTGTTCATAGCATGCTCATCTTCCTGGGAGCGCCTGGGCTAGCCATCATATCAAGGCCTAACCATATTCCTGTTTTCAATCATTACTCCCTTCCTGGCTGAGCCTGTTTTTAAAGCTTTTCCAAACAAACAAAAGCAGTCGCAGAAAAGCAGCTGGCCACACCACAGTCTGATTCAGTGCTACTGAAAGTCTCACTTTGTGAAAGAAAACGTTTTTATAAGGAAAATTTTCCACCAATTCAGCCTTTTGCATCAATGAGAACCACCAAATGTATTAAACAGTGAAGGCTTTGGCAAGAGCTCTGAGTCAATAGGAAGGTAGTTATAATATTTAAATCCATTTCACTTATGGGCCTCTTTATAGTAGCTAATGGATATTCCCTTTACCCTGAACTTAATTCCACAAATCTATGTGCTATAATAAAATGATGAATATATGAATAATTTGCACACATTAAATTTCAGAATTGCTCTGATGAGTATTCCCAACCATTTTAAGCATTTTTTGAAATTTCCTGATTAAGAGGATTTCAGAAATGGAGAACACCAATTTTCAGAGCTACGATTAAAATGAATCCCTTTATTTCTATTTTTAAAATTACATCTCTGGTGCCAATGACACGATTTTAATATAAATGTGAACCTACATTAAATCTTTCACTTAATGTATTTTCTTTGTGTCTATAATGATATGCAAACCCATGCTTTCAAAATTGATGTCTTTTCCAAACTTCAACAGGCCCAAATGCCAGGCAAACCTTGTTTTTTTTTTTTTTTTTTTTTTTTTTTATCATTTTTGACAGTTGCTGGGTAAGCCAGCTCAGACTCATATCATAGAGCCTTGTGTTTCATATAACCTCACCTGAATAGAAATTGGCATTCACAAGAATGCTAGGATGTGACATGCTTTGCATTGATTCTTGGTCATTTTTGACATTGACCTGGTAAAGCAGGTGCTGTATTACTCACTTCGAACAGATCAGGAGACCGAGGCTGAGAGGCTACAAAGCTCACCCAAGGTGCAGAAACAAGTATGGGCAGTGGTTAGAGAGAGTTTAGGTTTAGAGCAGAAAATTAAGATCAGATCTGTGATAAAAAGAAAGGAAGGAGCTAAGGTTATAGCTCAATGCTAGAGCATTTGCCAAGATACACAAGGCCCTGGGGTCAATGCCCAGAACTAAAAAATAATAAAGTTTTTAAAAATTAAAAGTGAGAGGGAGGTGATGAACAGAAATGGAAGCCACAGAAGATATACAAAGCAACGAACACAGGGCAAGCTAAAGTGGATAAACTATTCTAGCTGATTGGACACGGGGGAATCGAAGGTATTTGGTGAGCATTTACTATATGCTCCATATACCACTGGGCACCAGGGATACAAATGATCATGAAATAAAACTCTTGACAAGAGAAAAATCTAAAAAATAAAAAATAAGCAAACAAAATAGTTACTAGCTGTATTCGTTTTCTAGGTAACAAATTAGCCCAATTTGGTGGCTTAAAAACATGGGAATTTACTCTCTCACACCTCTGGAGGCCAAAAGTCTGCAACTAAGGTGTTGGTGTGGTTCTTCCTTCCGGATGCTCTTGGGGAGAGTCCTTCCCTGTCTTTCCCAGCCTCTGATGGATACAGCAGTTTTTGGGTTTCTTGGCTTTTCCACATCCTGCCCCCCATCTCTGTGCCTGTATTTACATAGTGTCCTCCCCTGTGCCTACTTATGTCCAAACTTCCCTCTTCTTATGACACCAGTCATTAGCCTCCCCTAACCTGTGGGACCTGATTTTAACTGAATTACATCTGCAAACACCCCATTTCCAAGTAAGGTCCCATTCACAGGTACTAAGGGCTTAGGACTTAGACCTGCCCTTTTATAGAACATAATTCTACCCAGAACACCACCTGGGATAAATTATCAGATGGAAATGAAAGGGACACTTTCACTTAAGGGGAGACCTGCTCAGAGGAGCAGGGAAGATTTTATGTCAGGAGCTGCTGGCACAGAAACAAAGTCCTGAAAGAAGGGTGGAACTCCTCATAGTTCCTGTGGTAGTAGGCCCAGTGGGGGGAGCAGTGCGTGCAAATGCCCTGGGGCTGGGTAGATCACAGTCATGGGTAGAAACTTGAAGAAAGAAGAGTTCCTGCAACAGAGTTCATCAGGGGAAGATGGGCAGGACAAGCTTACGTAGGACCCTGGAGACCAAGGGAGTTTAGATTTGTTTTTTCCTATGGACAATGGGAAAACAGCCATCAAAGAATTTTAAACAGAACAGATATAGAATCAGATCTGATTTTTCTTTTTTCTTTTTCTTTTTTTGTACTGGGGATTGAACTCAGGGGCACCCAACCACTGAGCCACTCTCTATTTAAATAAAATACAAAATACCCCAGCCCTATTTTGTATTTTATTTACAGATAGGATCTCACTGAGTTGCTGAGCGCCTCACCATTGCCAAAGCTGGCTTTGAACTCAAGATCCTCCTGTCTCAGCCTCCCGAGCTGCTCGGATTACAGGTGTGCACCACCGTCCCCAGCGTATGATCAGTATTTTTAAAAGCTCACTCTGCCTGATTTGTGTGGCATTTAGGCCAGTGTGGCACACGCTAAGCGAGCACTCTTCCAGGGGCCCACACCCTCAGCCCTCATTCTGCCGGATTTGCGCGAACACATTTCTGTGGGAAAAGAGAAGAAGCTGTGGACAGACTGGACAGCTGCACCCCGCCCCCCAGGTCAGGGGATGCACTGGCTGAAGGGGGAGGGGGACGACGACACAAGAGCCATGCTACAGCGTCAAAAGCTGTGGGATGTATTTATTTTGGAGTAAAATTAATAAGATTTACTGAAAGTTTTGAAATGATGTAAAGAAAATAAATTAGAACAATGGTGAAGGATCGGATGTGGAGTTTGGGAGAGTGTCAGGTGATGCCTACATTGGATATTTGAGAGCCCAGATGAAGAGTAGTGTCACAAATTCCCTGAAGGGACTGACCCATGTGGGAAGTCCCAGCTGGAAATCCCCCACCAAGGGACGCCTTAATTTAATGGGGCTAGGCGGACACAGTGAAAAGTGAGATCCTGTCTGTGGTCGTAATTTAACATTTAATATGAGAAGGCTGTCTTCCCTTTCCTGCATGGTGGCATTCAGTATCTCTCTGGGTGGCTTCAAGTCCTGATGAGGTGGCAGAGTGGACACAGCCACAGCCTCCACTTAGCATGGATGTCCAAGGCCACTCGTTCAGTGTGACATGAGGTCCTTCCAAAGGTCCAGTGTGATCTACCATGGAGTCAGAAGTCCTCCCCCCCTTATCTCTAGGAGTACCCCCAAAGAGGCCACACATCTTTCCTTGCAAACACGCTGTCCCACCGGGAAGCTCCAATGCCTGGACTCTATTGAACCTGGAAAAGTGACACTGGCTAACATTCATGTCACCTCTTGCCTGATCTTACTCCTCTTGAATGACCCATGAATCAAAAGAAAATCAAAAGATTGATAAGGGCTGGGGATTAACCCAGTGGCAGAGCTTTTGCTTAGTATGCTCAAGGTCCTTGCTGGTTCAACTCCAGGATGGGTGGGGGGAGGGGGTTAAAAATGAATCAAAAGCTAAGAGCAAGGACCTTGGGGTGAGACAGCCCTGGATTCAAAATCCTGGCATCATGACTTGTTGGCTTCAAAGAGTCTCTTCCAGTTCCTCCTGGGCATAAAATAATAATATTAAATGCCCATCTCTGGGGCACTGGAGGCTCCTGTGAGCCAGTATAGGTAGGGTCTCAGTGGCAGGCACACAGTTTGGTACCCATGGGGTTGTGAGCACTAGGCTGGTAGCTCAAGTTTTCAGGCAGAAGCTGCAGCACCTTCAAGCTGATGATCAGTGAACATCCGCATGGTGCCATACCGTTGGATTTCTCTGCTTCCCAAATCCTGGCAGTAATTGGGCCACCTAACTGAAGAGACAGGGCCATGATGAAACCCTCCCAGGGCGGTGGCCAGCATGTTATCCACCCCCACCCCCAGTGCCTGTATCCCTGCAATGAAGGCAGCTGAAGATGGACAGTGGGAGCCTGTCAAGAGCAGGAAAAGTTTTCAGGAATTGGCCTCGAGGAGGGTGGGAAGAGATTGAGGGCAGGCCCCAGGCAATGCCACGATCAAGTTCTGTTGCTCAGTTACTAGCCCTTCTGGGGATTGTGCCGGGAATCTTTTTCCATCCAGATAGTGACTGAGAACAGGACCCAGGGAGCAGTCATGTTTCAGATGCACCGTGGGTAAACAGAAGGAGACCCCAAAGAGGTTCAAACATCAGTTCTCCTACTCACAGGCCTGTGAGCTTGTGTTCCTCTTCCCCACTTCCTCTCCCTGGCCAGATGGCCTCTGCTGGGAAATACAGAGGTCCACGGTGCTGCCAGATGCCCATCACACTGTATTCTAAAAATCCAAAGCACCACAGGGGAGGATGCTGCACTAAGTCATGATAAATGTTTGAGATGATGGATAAGTATATTAATTTAATCATCACACAAAGCACTGAAACATCACACTGCACCCCATAAAGATGTGCAATTATTACCTGTCAATTAAGAAACTAATTTTATTTTTTTAAAAAATCCCAGGAGGGAAGTACACATCAACATGGTTATTATTCTTAGAAGCAACATCCAAACAGAAGGAGGCAGAGGAAAGACCTGGACATATTAACAGACTGATGGCAATGTCCTGCCCATATTTTGAATGAATTAAAAAAAAAAAAAGTTAAGATTCATGTTTCAGGCAGAGCTTTGGGATCTATGAGGACTTTTCACTGGACAAGAAAAGGCCTCGGGCTGGCTGACTCATCCTTGTGAATGCTTGTTTTTCCTATCTGCAAAATGAGAGCAGGATTCCATCTAGGGCACATGGAGTGTGATTAAACATTTACCTCCAAGTGACCTCTCAGGGACAGCTTTCCGATCAGCATGAGTGGGGAACTTTCCATTGCCTGTACCTGGAAGAACAGAGAAGAGAGATGGTGAATTTCTTATCCAAAGATTATGTCTTCTCTAAATTCTGAAATCTTTAAAGATGGAATAATTTGTTTCAAATAACATAGGAAAATAAAAAGTGGGTGGAAGTATTTATTAGAGCAGGTCAGCCCAAGTTGATGAGTGGGGGATCTTTTCTCTCAACCTATAAAAGTTACTTGTTTTTAAACACATAATATCTAATACCCACTATGTATCCAAAATCCTTTTAAAGTTACTATACTTTGTAACCAAGCAATTCCACTCTAGGAAAAGCTGCAATGCAACTTAGTGGAAAGAGTTGTGTGATTTAAAAGAACAATAATATGGAAGCCAGGCAAGGTTGTGCAGGTCTGTAATTGCAGCTACTTAGGACTCTGAGGGAGGAGAATCTCAAGTTCAAGGCCAGTCTGGGCAACTTAGCAACTCTCTTGTCTCAAAATAAAAAATAAAAAGGGCTAAGGATTTAGCTCAGTGGTTGAGTGCCCCGAGGTTCTGTTTCAATCCTCAGTACAAAAAAAAAAAAAAAAAAAAAAGACATGAAAGCAAATAATAACATAAGAAAAAAATCACATTTCAAATTACAAAGAGATGACTTTTTCTGCCACATAAAAGGCTGATTCAGATTAATAATTCCTACACACACACACACACACACACACACACATACACACACACAAATAGTCCAATATATGAAAAAGAAATGTGTGTATGTGTGCACAGATAAGCAAAATCACAATCTGATAACATACTCTAACAGAAATGAAAATTAATATAACCTTAGTGGAGATAACTCAGCATTTATATATTGCTATATTGACTCTGCAATGCTGCTTCTAGCAATTTATTCCTCATGCATAAAACAAAAGGTGAATGAGGTTATTCACTATGGCATTGTGTAAAAGACCGGAAACAACCTCTAAGCCCAGCAGTGGAGAGTGGCTAAACAAACTGTGATGAAATCCACTCAGCAGAAGCATGAACAGGGACCAGAAGTGATGGCGAGAAATTGAGCATGCCAGTCCAGTCCCAATCCTAGGCCAACCCTGAGAATCCAAAGGGAGTGAACTTGAAGTCCCAGCCAGTCTTTTCTAAATTCTAAGGAACAGATCTCAGTGACTCCAAAAATCATTTGATTTGAGAAATCGTAAATACTGAAGTAGATTTTTGTGTCCTAATATGGCAAGAGGGCCATAATACACTGTTAGAGGAGGAGGGTATGTCACAGAATGGTATTAAGGCATGATCCCATTTGCATCTCAAATTGAAAATAGCGTGTATATATATTCAGATATGCATAAAAGAAAACTGGAAGAGATACCAGGCTCTTAAAGCGGTTATTAAGTACCTTATGGTGTGCTAGGTGCTGAGAACATAAAGATAAATAAGAAATTAGATTGGAAATTCCAGGAAGGAAGAGAAATTTTCTATTTTCTCTGCTCTTGCCCAGCATCTGGCACATAATGCATATTCAATAAATATTTATGGGAGGGGAGGGAAGAAGGAAGAAAAGAAGGAGGGAGGAGAGAAGGATAAATTATAATCCCTGCCCTCCAATTGCTCACAGTTGCTCACAGCCTGGTGTGGACAAGCCCGTGGGCAGAGTGCAGAGAATTCTGGGAGAAAGCTCTCAAGCTGGCAGGGGCATTGCAGACACTCCCCCTCTTCCTCGACAGCATCCCCCTGTCCATAGACATCATTTGCAAGTCTCTGGCCTTGGCCTTGAAGTCTTCAAACTTGAAGCTTACCCATCTTCAGGGAGCCCTCTTCTTTAGGACAAATGAGAAGCAGATTACTCTGGCAGAGCGGGGACAGAAGTCCTGATAATGGACATAACCTCCAAGCCGGATCTCAGGGAGCCGGAAGCTCTAGGGAAAGGACCCAGGCTGTCAACTGCCAGGAAAATTGACTTCACACAACTCACAAGTGACACCTAATGTCTCTCTAGGGAACTACATGAAAATCCTAAGTGGAGCGTTGCCGAAGAGCAAAACTGGTCCTTTCCTTACAAGGTTTTCCAGGGAGTTTGAGGTGGACTAAACGAGGAGGCCAGGCCAAGACTTTGTTAAAACCTCCTCAAAAGTGAGCACAAATCACGATGAACGGTATTCTTCTCACAGTTGCTGTGTCTCTTCTCTGCCTGGGTGAGCTGCTAATAGTTTTGTTATCTGGGTTCTTCTGATTCTTTTCTGATAGCACTTGCTAAATTACAGTTGCATTCAAATGGCAGAAATGGCAAAAGGAAAGGCAACTTTTCAGAAAAAAGAAACTTTACTGAGGTTAACATTTGAGCAAAATCCTAGAGTCCAACAGGTCCTGAAAAGAATGGGCTCTGCCTCCTACCAGCTCTGCAGCCCTGGACACATTGCTGCAACTTGCTCAGCTTCAGTTTTCTCCCTGGTAAGATGGAAATTATGTCACCTCTTTTGCAAGATTGCCAAGCAGATTAAACAAGATTACTAATGTGCACATAATAAAATATAAAAAGCTCAGTGAGAGCTGGTGTCGTGACTAGTTACATCCTTCCACATTGTGTAGGTGAGAGAACTAAGGTCCAGAAGGGATGGTCAAGGCCATGGCTGGCCAACATGGGATTCAAATCCAGCCCACCTGTCTTCAGAGTGCCCACTGTGGACCATTTGGTCTATAGTAGCATCAATGTATTGTTGTTAAAACTACAAAATTTTTCTGTAGCATCAATGACCTATTCAGGAGCAAGAACAATAAGAAGGTAGAGTGCACTTCACTGATAATCTACCAATAATTTAACCTTAGTGGGAGGGCAACCACTCTAGGAAAAATAGCTGATTATTTCCCTCTTTGTAAGTTATAGTGACTTTTAAATACTGTTGTGTTAATAATGGGCTGCTCTACCTACTGAAGTTTATCTAACACCTTTTATCTGCCTGTCATCTATTTAAATGAATGGCTGGTACAGAAGAATATGACCTAAAATTTTTCATCAAGGGCTGGGTTTGTGGCTCAGTGGTAGAGCACTTGCCTAGTATGTGCGAGGCCCTGGGTTTGATCCTCAACACCACATAAAAATAAATAAAATTAAGGTATTGTGTCCAACTACAACTAAAATTTTTCATCAAAAGAAGGTTATTTTCAGCTCCCATTTTTTAATACTTATCAGTTAGCATCACCCTATATACATGGAGGGGTTTTTTTTCTCTCAACCTAAAATGCCTTTTCTCAGTACACATGCACATTAATTTTCCAACCATACAGTAAATTCAAATTGGCTAACTGTGTACATTATGTTGAATCCTTATTTAGCGCCTCTAGTTCTGGACAACAAAGGCAACATGTGTTTCTTACAAATCAAATTGACAAGCTGTAGCATTTGTAGTGTATGAATTCATCATATGTAAGTCTATCTTATCATAATCACCATAAGTAATTAGTTTGGGTTAAAAAAAAAAGTGAACTGCATAAATGCTATGGTTTGAATGTGTCATCCTAAATTAATGTGTCGAACATTTTCCCCAGTGTGGTTCCTTGGAAGGTGAGGCCTTTTGGGAGGTGTTCAGGTTGTGAGGATGTGATATTAAGGATCTAAAAGAGTAGATTCTTTCTCTTCTGCTCTTCTACCATGTGACGATGCAGTAAGTTGGCCCATCTCATATGTTGGCACCTTCATTTTGAAATTCCCCACCAGAACTGTGAGAGAATAAATTTCTGTATTTCATAAATTTATTAAAAAGACTACAAAATTAACAGTTTTAAAAATGGGCAAAGAAGCCCAGCGCGGTGGCTCAGGCCTATTATCCAGCAGTTTGGAAGCCTGAGACAGGAGAATCACAAGTTCAAAGGCAGACTCAGCAACAGCAAGGTGCTAAGCAATTCAGTGAGACCCTGTCTCTAAATGGGGCTGGCCCAGTGGTCCAGTGCCCCTGAGTTCAATCCCTAGTACCCCCCACAAAAAAAAAATGGACAAAGAATCTGAAAAAACACTTACCTAAGATTATACAAATGGTAAATAAACACATGAAAAGATGATCATTATCATTTAGCCATCAGAGAAGTGCAAATCTAACTACAAAGACTAACCTGTTTAGACCCACTAGGATGATCATTTTTTAAAAAAATAGGAAATAATTGTTACAATGATGTGGAAAAATCAGAACCCTCCTATGTGCTGTTGGGAGGTCAAATGATACTTTACTGAGGAAAAGAAACCAGACGTTCCTCAAAAGCTTAGACATAATGTCACCATGAGACTCAGAAATTCCACTCCTAGGTATAATTCCAAGAGATCTGAAAATGTGTCTCTCAAAAACTCTGCACAAATGTTCATAGCAACATTTCTCTCAGGACTTTTATGACTCTCTGTTCATAACCCCAAAGTGGAAATCACCTACATGCCTATCGACTGATAATGGATAAATAAAATGTGGTCTTTCCATACAAAGATTATTTAGTCATCAAAAGGAATGAAGTGCTGATTCATGCTACAACGTGGATGGGCCATGAAAATATGGTGCTAAATGAGCAGAGGCAAAGTCAGAAGAACCACAGAGCATAGGATCCCTTTTATATAAAATGCTCAAAAGAGGCAACTCTATGAAGACGGACCAATTAGCACCGCCTGGGGCTGGAGTGTAGGTACTAGAAGGAAATGGAGAGAGACTGCTCATGGACATAGGCTTTCTTTGCGGAGTGATGAAAATATTCTAAAATTGCTGGAGGTGGTGATTACATAACTCTGAATACTGAAAACCAGTGAATTGTTCACTTGAAATGAGAGAGCTCACATACGCATGACTTAACAACGGGGATGCATCCTGAAAACGCCTGGTCAGGCAATTGTGTCACTTGTGAACATGATGGAGTGTATTTATCCAAACCCAGATGCTATAGTGTATAGCACCCCGGGGCTAGATGAAACAGCCTTTTGCTTCACTATCCTGTGTGTGGTCGGTGGCTAACTGAAACGTCATCATGCAGCACAAGACTATGAATTATAACTCAACAAAGC